ACTGTAGCAAGAGGGTGAGCCATCCTGCTATACTCTCAGAACCCTTAGTCCAGGGGTGTCAAACTCATTTGCCAAGGCGGGCCAGATTTAATATGAGTACACAGTATGCGGGCCAAGTAACATAATTATGAGCACTTCGCAATCACCTCTTAGGTGAGTAGTACGACAAAATAAGAAAGGTGGATTTAGTCTGCGCTCGTGCGAAACCCTTAAAAACAAACAAATCAAGTGTTTACTTCCCTTGATCAATCTTATTGTTTGCTACTGCTGCTTCCTGATAATTGGCACCTCTTGGTATGGACCAGTGCATCAAAGACTGAGCTGAAGCAACCTTCAGTATTGAATTAAGGTGCGCATCAGTAAGTTGAGACCGAAGCCGAAACTTGTTCAAGTTCATCACAGAAAAGAGTTGTTCACAGACATATGTACTTCCGAACATTGACATAATCTTTGACGCAAAACATTTAATCCTGGGATAATATGGTCCAAAATATTCATAAAATGTGCCAACATCAACACTCGAAAACTTGTTCCTCCACACAGAATCACACTGGAGCTCAATTATTTTATTCAGCTGAGGGATACACTCACTATTTAGTTTTAACTCCTCAAGGTAAGGCTGGAGCAGCAAATGGGCCGCGGGCCGCAGGCAAGAGTGTGTCGGGCCGCATGTTTGACACCCCTGCCTTAGTCGAATTTAATAGGGAGACCTTAACACGCACTAGGAGAGACTCGCACTCATCAGCAGCGTTCTTATGGAAACGTTTTTGTAAATGTTTTATAATGTTTTATTTTGTCAGCCTTTAATGTAAACATTTTTATATGGAATATTTTGTATTGTTTTGATGATCTTTTTATAGGAATAATTTTACTGTTTCCTGGTGTATATGAAGATTTGTATTTTTTAATGTTTGAATATAATTTTATTTATTTTATATTTTTCTGATAAATAATTTTAATAATTTATTACTAGTTTTTCGGGTTTTTAATTATTCTAATATTTTCAAATATATTTTTTATCAGGTTATATTTTTTTAATGTGTTTAAAATAGTGTTTATCCTTATTTTCTTGTTTTTATTTTATATCGGCATAAAACGGTTTTTTTACTATCATATAATAAAGTTTCAGGAGGAATATACAACAAGTAACTATGAAATGTTTAGATGTTTTCTCTACTGTGCCAATCACCGCTGGGGAGGGGGGGGGGGCTGCGGAGGGGCTTGGAGAGGGGCAGGGGAGGGGACTGAGATCGTGTCGCCGACCCGACCTGAAGTAACCAAACCTAACATAGCCTAGCCTAGCCTAGCCTAACCTAACCTAACCTAACCTAACCTAACCTAACCTAACCTAACCAGGAAAAGTGATGGGAATTCCTTACATAAAAATCCCCAAGTTCAGCATTATTGTCCCCCTCCGTCACCACATAGCGGGGAGTTAAAGAGGCGGGAGGTAAGCGAGCCATCCCCAGGTGTGTGGACATGTGTGCAGGTCTTGCAACACCACCTGGCTGAGGGGATATAATGGAGGCAAGAAGAGATTAAACAAAAAAAGATGTATGAACCCCTCTTGTGTGGTAATGGCCGCCGCTCTGTAGTGTACCATGTAGCTTAGCAGGGAGCAGGGGGCAAGGAGCAGGGAGGAGGGAGCAGGGAGCAGGGAGGATAAAGAGGAAACAGGAGGGGGTCGCGCGGGAATATCTTTAAGAGAGTTGTCACCACATGGGGGCAGCAGTCAGGGCCCTCTTGACTATAACGAGGATGACGGGACGAAGGCACTAACAGAGCTGTCACCAGGTGGGTCGAGAAGGTTCTGTCACCAGGTGGGTCAAGAAGGTTCTGTCACCAGGTGGGTCAAGAAGCTTCTGGTAGTCTGTATATCACACAAAGCCTCTGTACGACACACCACCAGATACTTATCACTGATCTCTCCTCCTCCTCTCCCTTCCTCTCCCCTTCCTCTCGTGTTCTCACCCTCTCTCTCCACACTCTCTTATACTGTTACCGCGTTCTTTTTTTTTTTGGTGGGGTTTAATATCCACGGCCATCGAGCTTGATACTGGCAGCCTTTGTGCGAGATTCTTAACAGCAGAAAGAGATTGTCCCTTGCAGAAAATGTACCGTAACTGATTGTAAGGACTTGGTGCACAAAAGACCACTCTCCACCTCCCCTACCCTACCTTCCACTGACTGCCCGCCCCGAGCTCTTGTATGCCCGCTTGGCTTCACATCAATGCCATATTGTTGTGGACGAATATAACAGCCACCAACGACAATAGCAAAGAGACTCTCATTTACTCTCTCTCTCTCTCTCTCTCTCTCTCTCTCTCTCTCTCTCTCTCTCTCTCTCTCTCTCTTTCCTTCCTTGTGTCATATTATCTCCTTCGTTCCTTTAGCTCTGTCAAGATCGACGTCATGGACAAAGGAAGATTCACGAAGGAAAAAGAAAAAGGTGATTTAGGATGGAGTTGATCATCACCTCTTGAATACTGACACCCAGGGGAGGAGGGGAGCTTTGAGCGCCCAGCCAACAAGATGGTGTGTGTTACTAGTGTCGGGTTTCAAGCACATTCGAAAATTCAAAACAAAAAATTAAGAATGAAAGAGTAAAAAAAACGGGGGATTACGTAAACAAATGGGAGGATGAAGAAGGGGGAAGATAAAGAGAGGAAGGGAGAGGAGAAGGAGGAAGGATAAAGGGTGATGTGAAAGCCTGTGTAGTAGTCGTAGTTGTACAAGCCGCACGTGTTAAATGGGGACCCCACTCTACCCCTACTACTCTCCCTCGAAGCTAATCCTCCATCCAACATCCCTGAGAGAGAGAGAGAGAGAGCGGAGCAAATGGACACACACACACACACACACACACACACCCTAACACGGGGAGACACGTATTTAACATCTCTTTTACCTCCAGGGAAGCGAGAGAGGGGGCACCACTATCCTCCTCCTCTCCCCAGGTGTGGTAAAGAGGGTGGGTCACGGCCGCCATTATAAGGACGAGGCGTGTGTGCTAAGCTGCCCAGTTTGTACCGCCCACTATCTCCGCCCCTCCCCCTCTATCTCTCTCTCTCTCTCTCCCAATTCCTCCAACTTTGTATCTCTTTATCCTTCCATCTTTCTATCCATCCATCATTCGATCCTTCCATTATTCTACCTTTCTATACTTCAATCTTATTTCCCTCTCTCTTCTATTCCTTCAGCATCAATGAATTCAACTTCTAGTTTTTTTCTCACTCGATTCCCTTTACCCTCCATCTATCCGCCTCCCATCACAGCCCCCTCACCCCCATCTAGAGAGAGAGAGAGAGAGAGAGAGAGAGAGAGAGAGAGAGAGAGAGAGAGAGAGAGAGAGAGAGAGAGAGAGAGAGAGAGAGAGAGAGAGAGAGAGAGAGAGAGAGAGAGAGAGAGAGAGAGTGAGAGTGAGAGAGTGAGAGAGAGAGAGAGAGTGAGAAAGAGAGAGAGAGAGAAAATGAAAGGGGTTGTGAAGAGGCAAAGGGGAAAGATGATAAAAGTTACACACACACATATCACCATTTGAATAATACGATACAATAAATACAAGTATCATTATAATGCGCCCTCTTAACTCAGGTATGATGTATGTGAGGTAAAAATAAAATAAACATATAGATCGAGATGTATTTTAGTGCGCATCAGTCGTGGCCTCGCTGGTGGTCTGCTGCGGAGGACTTCCAGCTGCTTTGTTTACAGGTGTTTAGTTATGTAAGGTAAGTGATAATTATGACGGTACGTGATTGAGTTTGAGGACACACACACACACACACACACACACACACACACACACACACACACACACAATATATATACATACAAACGCGGGGATAACTTACTTGCCTTCCATTCTATAAAGCTATACCGTAAAATTTGTAAAACACCAAACAAAATACAAGAGAGAAGCGTCAGTAATATCTTGCGAGGTGTTACTAAACCGCCAAGGTAAACACTAACACCGAATGATAATATATTATTAAACTAAAATAAAACACCGTATGATTTTCTTTTACGACATATACAGAGAAATATCTCTAAGAGGCTACAACTTTTTATCAAAACATCACTTATATAAATACTGACATTGTTATTGAGAATGAAGATAATATTGGCAAGGAATATTAAACTTAGGCATTAAATAAAAAGTAAGATTTTTTGTTTAAGACACTTTGATAAATAAATAAACACACACCTCACGTCACACTAATATACTTGGGCGGTATCAACCATTGTTTGTGCCGAGTTTTTCTGTTTGTTTCCCCCCGAGTGTCAATAATGGTGAGAGAGAGAGAGAGAGAGAGAGAGAGAGAGAGAGAGAGAGAAACAATTTCTTTACTCTTTCTTAACCATTAAAGAGCTATGTAAGAGAACTTGTTGCCTGTAAGAATAACACGAGTATCAATAACACTACGTTTGTTTTCTTTGTAACACCTGAAGCTGAAATTCTTGTGGACGACTCATCTATGAGAGCGACTCACTCATAAGGACTATCCACCTATGAGGACGACCTACCTGTGAGGACGACCTATGTATGAGGACGACCCACCTATGAGGACGACCTACCTGTGAGGACGAACTACCTATGAGGACGACCTACCTATGAGGACGACCAACCTATGAGGACGACCTACCTGTGAGGACGACCTACCTATGAGGACGACCTAAGGAGGACGACCCACTCATGAGGACGACCTACCCAGAGGACGAACTACCTATGAGACGACCTACCCATAGAGAGGACGACTCAACCTATGAGGACAACCAACCTATGAGGACAATCCTTCCTATGAGGACTACCCACCTATGAGGACGACCTGCTTGTGAGGACGACCTATGTATGAGGACGACCAATCTATGAGGACGACGTACCTATGAGGACGACCAACCTATGAGGACGACCAACCTATGAGGACGACCTATGTATGAGGACGACCCACCTATGAGGACAACCTTCCTATGAGGACGACCTACCTATGAGAACGACCTACCTATGAGGACGACGTGGCCGAAGACACCACTGCCGGCAGCCATGAGGGAACAGTTCCAGCGGTGGTGCCGGAACTGATGCTGGCACTCCCGGATGCCAGTACGGGAACCCTCGCTGATGGACACGATGGCATCCGGTGCCTTGGTGCAGATGCGGCGCTGGCGGGCGGTGAGACCTGGCACTCTGGAACACAGCAAGTTGGCACCCAGGGCCACCACAGACGACACAGCCCTAGAGGAGGAGGAGGGGGGGAGAAGAGACAGAGTAAGGTGCTGGAGGCGATAACTGTGGTGTGTGTGTGTCTAGTGTGTGACTGCACAAAACACACACACACACACACACACACACACACACACACACACACACACACACACACACACACACACTGCCTCTTACACTATCACTGTGTTGAAATGAACTGTAGTTTGAGCTGATCCCCATCTAAGTTAATATATGTCTTATTTGTGTTCACGCGTTACTTGTATATTATTTGTAATTCGTAACCCATTCCCAAATATGTAACTGTATATTTTCAGCCTCTGGCTGCTAAGCTTCTTTCAATAAACCGTTAATACTACATATTATTACAATAATAATAATAATAATAATTCAATATCCTGTAATACAAACTATCAATGATTAGCCTAAATAATATCACCGAACATAAATATGAACAATTATTTTCTTCTACACATTATTAACACACATCATGAAGCTACACGAGGCAACGGGAGAAACAGAAAGCTTAGAGGCAACGGGAGAAACAGAAAGCTTAGAGGCAACGGGAGAAACAAAGTTTAGAGGCAACGGAGAAACAGAAAGCTTAGAGGCAATGGGAGAAATAGAAAGCTAGAGGCAATGGAGAAACAAAGCTTAAAGGCGACGAGAGAAACAGAAAGCTTAGAGGCAACGGGAGAAACAGAAAGCTTAGAGGCAACGGGAGAAACAGAAAGCTTAGAGGCAACGGGAGAAACAGAAAGCTTCGAGGCAACGGGAGAAACAGAAAGCTTAGAGACAACGGGAGAAACAAAGCTTAGAGGCATACAAATATACAAACAGAATACATTTAACCTATACAAGTCTCAATATGTAGACACGTAGATATTTGAGTTTATGTATACATGTAGATATATACTGTACACAAGACCCGCCTGAAGGTGCAGGAGGTGTGTGGCGGAGAACCAACACCTGCGTGACTGTGAGACATTTGGTGGAGACCCCTGAGGGAGCCGTCGTCATCCAGGTACAGGTAACACACTCACCTGACCTCTTCCCTCCTCCTCCTCACCACTCACCGCTCTGTGTGTGTGTGTGTGTGTGTGTGTGTTTTAAACTGTGTGTACAGGATTAAGTAGACGTGGTGCAAATGAGTGTCGATCTGAGAGTGAGATACACCTCTCTCTCTCTCCCTCTCTCTCTCTCTCTCTCTCTCTCTCTCCTCTCTCTCTCTTCTCTCTCTTGTTTGTTCATTGTTCTTTTCTCTTCTCCCTCTGCTTGTCTGTCTGTCTGTTGTTATCACCTACCTGAGAGAGAGAGAGAGCGAGAGAGAGAGAGAGAGAGCAGGTAGCATAGGTCATTAAGGCTTGTGACCACCCAGCCTACCACTAGAACACCCCCCCCCCTTCTCTATGTCTTTCCATGAATGTGTAATGAGTCCCTCTCTCCCTTGTATGGTGGCGGAGGCTGTCACACGGCGCCATTATTTATTTTTAACTTCACCTGTTCACAACCCACCTGGGATTTATTAATTACAGGTGTGTATGGTAGTGAGGTGTTTATTTTGTGTGTGTGTGTGTGTGTGTGTGTGTGCGTGTGTGTGTGTGTGTGTGACATTTCCATTAAAACTTTTCCTTACTCAAGCAACTCCCGTACACTAAACTACGCCATTCATCTACAACACATGACGTAACTACAAGAAAATTACGTAGTTTAGAATCACCTCATTACTCGTCCTCCTCCCTTGTGGTTTATAGACATTTATCATAACTTCAGATATTTCAATGGGTCGTGGTTTTTTTTCCCAAGATTACCAGGCTGATGGGGGGGGGCAGAGTACCTATGATTATTGTCCCAGTTAGCTTGTGTGTGGGTAGTGTGTGTGTGTGTGAAATAAATATTCAGGGAAAATTCAGTCATATCTTATAAAAACACCTGAAATTATACACCATTGACTTTAGGGCCCACACACACACACACACACACACACACACACTGTGATGAGAGATTTCAATGCATCAGGTAGGCTAGGGTAGTAGGTACCCTGCTGGGGTGGGCGGGGAGAAGCAAGGGGATGTTTGGGGCGGGGGGATGGGTGGGTGGGGATGGGTGGGTGGGGGATGGGGGGCAGGGGAGGAGTGGGGTAGGGATGAGTGGGGGCAGAGAGAAAGGGGTAGAGAGTGGGCGGGGATGGGGTGGAAGGGGAGGATGGGTGGGCGGGGGAGGAGCGGGCGGGGAGTGATGGGCAGAGGAGGAGGAGCGGGGCACTTGTTATATTCTTCAGGAAATATGAGGAATGTTTAAATGGGTTCAGACACGGGGTTCACAGGCCTTAATGGGGTTCACAGTCTTAATGGGGGTCTACAGTCCTAATGGGGTTCATAGTCTTAATGGGGGGTTCACAGTCTTAATGTGGTTCACACAGATTACCGGGGTTCACAGTCTGTGGTTCACAGATTAATGGGTTCACAGTCATACGGGTTCAAGAGTCATGGGGTTCCCAGTCTAATGGGGTTCACAGTATTAATGGGGTTCACAGTCTTAATGTGGTTCACAGATTAATGGGGTTCACAGTCATAATGGGGTTCACAGTCATAATGGGGTTCACAGTCTTAATGGGGTTCACAGTCTTAATGGGGTTCACAGTCTTAATGGGGTTCACAGATTAATGGGGTTCACAGTCATAATGGGGTTCACAGTCATAATGGGGTTCACAGTCTTAATGGGGTTCACAGTCTTAATGGGGGGTTCACAGTCTTAATGGGGTTCACAGTTAATGGGGTTCACATCTTAATGGGGTTCACAGTCTTAAGTCTGGGGTTCACAGTCATAATGGGGTTCACAGTCTTAATGGGGTTCACAGTCTTAATGGGGTTCACAGATTAATGGGGTTCACAGTCTTAATGGGTTCAGAGTTAACTAAGATACACCGCCCATTATCATGACAGCGGAGCCACTCTGCAAAACTCTGGTATAAACTGACTTAAAACCGTGAGAATAATACCGAGACAACTTTCAATTGTCTTAAAAATTAAATAGCAAGTTATTTTTACTTCTTCATACAGCGCGTGTGTGATGGCGAGAGATAAAGTTCCCACTACGATAAATAGTAAAACTTTCTAAAGAGTTTTACTTAACGTTTGTCTTCGATTTTTTTAGGAAACTCTGCTTATGTGGTAAAGAATAATAATATCCTCCTAAATATTACAACCCGATATAAATAACCTTTTTAGAGTCTGTTATTTAACCAAATTTAATAGAATTGACAAAATGTAAACACTAAGATTTCGAGGGAGTGTCGTGTGGCAGGCAGCGGTGTTGACGCTGCCTGTCACAGCGGGAGGTCCAACATATCTCACGGCAGTCAACACCCCCGCTGAGAGCACCAAATACCGGGACAAATTGCTTTGGAGTAGGCCTGCCTTGGGTGGGGGTGGAGGGGGTGTGGAGGGGGTGTGGAGGGGGTGGAGGTTGGAGTGAAGAGAGAGGAGGGAGATGTGGAGAGGAATGGGAAGGGACAGACGAAGTGGAAAAGGGAAAGAGGGTGTGTGGAAAAGGGAGAGAGGATGTGGAAAAGGGGAAGCGGATTATAAAGAGGGCAAGGAAGGGGGATGTGGAGAGGGGAAGAGAGGGAAAGTGGGTGTAAGGAGAGAAAGGGGTGTGTGAATGGTGAGGAGGGCTGTATGGAGAGGGGTGTGAGGGGGGGTCTGTATACACTACCGGAACACGAGCAGGGGACAAGTTATTAAGTCAGTATCGTAGATGATCTGGCGGTAAGGAGGCGATCAGTGGAGGACCTGAGCCTTAGACCACCTCTAGTCTGACCCGGCACTATACCTGGGTGGGGTGGAGGGCAGGTGTGATGGGGTGGAGGGCAGGTGATGGGTGGGGTGGTGGGGTGGTGGGGTGGTGTGGTGGGGTGATGGATTGGGTGGGCGTGGTGAAGGCGGGTGATGGGTGGGTGATGGGTTAGGTGATGGGCGTGGTGATGGGCGTGGTGATGGGCGTGGTGATGGGTAGGGAGGTGGGCATTTTGTGATGGGTGGGGTGATGGGTGGGGAGGTGGGCGGTAATGGAATAACCTGGTAGTGTGGTGGGCAGGCGAGTTATCAGTGACCCATCTCTTCCCTACACATACCTACACTGTCCACACACACACACACACACACACACCAATTAGCGTCGTGTTTACAGGTAACCTCTACTGCGGGAGAACTCGTGTGTGACGTATCCAGGTAATACTTCGCCGTGATGTCATGTGTTCGTCAGCGTGTCTCTCTCTCTCTTTCTCACACTCTCTCTCTCCCTTACTATCTACCCCCACCTCTCTCTCTCTCTCACCCCCTTTCTCACAGTCAAAAGACAAACATCTCCATACTGTGAGATGCCAGGGAGCTTAGATAGAGAACCTGACCCTCACACAGGCGGTCACTCGAGGTCTGTTTCTTATTTACACTTGATTTGGTTTTCTTTATCATGGAGGCGACAGGAGGTTTCCATCCACTGGTGTGTGTGTGTGTGTGTGTGTGTGTGTGTGTGTGTGTGTGTGTGATTGAAGGCCTTTAAAAATGCTGTGTTATTGGTGAATGTTAAGAATAAGCTACAGTGACAGAAAAACAAATGGATAAGTCCTAATATTATAAAAAAAACTTCAAGAGCAATGACTGAAATGCCCAGAAAAAGAAAATTGAGATACTTTGGTCATATAATTAGGGATGAGGGAATAATAACAAATCTTAATGGGCGAAGTTGAAGGTAGGAGGGCCAGGGGAAGGCAGAAACTGGGATGGGTGACTGAAATTAAAAACTGGGTCTTCAGAGAGATACAAAACCTTAGAGGATTGATAAAAACAGCCCGAGAACATTTAGAGTGGAGGGCTGTGGTCGACAACCCTCAGATATGAAGACGGTACTCCGATTTATTAAAGATGGGGGATTGATGGGGGTTGAGTTGGAGTAGTATTGGGTGGGGAGGAGTATATTGTAGTGGGTGGAGTGGGAGGGGTGGCGGTGAG